TTTTTTTTTTTACCCCCCCCCCCCCCCCCCTCTCCACATATACCTATTTCAGAATTTTGCTTGAATTTCACCTATATATGTCATTTCTATCTCACGTAACCAAATTTACTTGGATTTTTGTCATGTATGATTGGAAGTTTGCCATTTTTTTTTTCTTATTTAGTTTTAGACACATGATAAGAATAGAATGTAAATATATTTTTCCTTTATTTTGATGTAACTAAAATTTAATCATTTTTATCTGACTTCAACTATCTTTTATTCAAACTTTTGGCACATATATTTCAATTGATCAATTTTATGCAGTCATATACAACAAACAATGCTAAAGTAGTGTTCTTGAATCAAAGGCCAATTAAAAGACAATTCATCAAGGTCTCAGCTAATTACACTTGTAATCAATGCAACAAAAGCCTTCAATGCCCAAATATTTTTTGCTCCATCTCATGCAAGGTTTGAATTTTCCATCTATTTAACATGAATTAAATTTAAAATTGTCGACTAATATTATCTAGACATTCAAATTATAATTTATTTCATTTCAAATTTCAAATACTTATTATAAATAAATTAATCACATAGACATGAGGTTTTACAACATATTGAGGCTAATATGTATAATTATTGATAATAATGAATTTTAGCAACTAACTTATCTACGTAATGATATATTCAAGATTGCTTGAAAAGGTTTTTTTAAAAAATTAAGCCAAATGTTTTTAATATGAACGTGTAATTATGTGATTAGGTACTCAGCTTGAAACTGATCCTAATTCAAATATCTAAATAAATTTTAGTAACAAATTTAAGATGTTATTTATATATTTCATCTTAAATGATGAATGTCTCTTACCGCTACTCGTTCAAAAGACGACTTTTAGTATTTTACATATATTTGATCAAATCTTCTTTAATTATGTATACTATGCATGTATTCAATTAAATACATTTACATTTACATATATTTGAAGGACCATGACTTTAATTTTGTTTTCTCTACTTAGGGTGTGTTTGAAATGGAAATATAATTATTTTTTTCTACATTTGATTGCAATTTTTTTAGAAAACATATCTTCTAGAAAGTTATTATTTTTTTTCAAATAAGAAACATAACTTTAAAAAAAAAAATTAGAACTAAAAATAAATTTTATAACAACATTTCATATTAATTGTTTCCCCTATTCTCCAAGTCATCCTACCTCCACACCCCTACCCTCACCCAATATTTAAACTAATATTTTCTACTTACTAAACATTTGATTATTTTCATTTGTCACAGGTACATTATATGATAAGCCGCTCTATTGTTAGCTCGATTATAAAGTACGAAAAGTTGATAAATAAATCTGAATGTTTAGTGGAACTTATTGAAAATCAAAATACAACTTACTCCATAAGAGCTTCTTGTGGCTCAATCAATATCAAGACTGAGACCACTCGTGACTATGAAGAAACCAAACATACATCTCTTAGTGTGTCGATTTGTTCATCAATATCTGATGGTTCATACACACACCGCCGAAAGGGTGTGCCAAAAAGGTCTTCCTTGTGTTAGGTTTTTTTTATCTTGGGAATGTGTTGTTTGCAATGTATCATTTTCTTTTGGAGGACTTAAATAGAAAGTGTCGAATAAATTGAAATAGAAATCTCTACTTTATTTTTCAAGAAAATATCTTATTTCTTAAGACCCTACTGTTGTCCTTCTGTCCTCTTGGTTCAAGAGCCCTATCAACTCCACATTAGTGTACATTAAATCACATTGGTGGTTAACCAATAAAACTAAAGTGAGGATAACTTTTTTTTAAAAACAATGTATATTGTGTAGCAAGGCTCTTTTCCATATAAATATTGTGTGGCATAACTTTTTTTCATTGTTTGCTTCCTTCATTTCTCCCAAAAACGATTTGAGTTAAAATTGATTATCAATTTTAAGTAGTAAGTACAATTTAAGAAGCATTAGACAAATTGGATATTTTTAGACGAGAAATAATTTGATTACTTATTTTTCCTTCTTATATCATGTTTGAACGAAAAAAGGCTTGCGAACTTCTTTAGTACTGGAGGGAAAGCTTGTCATTCATCATGTTTACTATTACCCAATCCCAAGATTTTGCTCTTTCAACATACTTTTTAAAGATGTTTCAAATCTAAACCAACACTACTACATTGTGCTCGATGAGCTTTTATTCATAATATATACCTAATTCAGCTTCTTTTTTTCTTCCTCCACCCCATCTCTAAGAGGATCAATAGTGTTCTCAATTGCCCTCTAACATGATTTGAACGTTCAACTTAACGATCGATATTGGAGATGCTAAACAATTTGAGTAAACCTCACTTGTTTAGTCCACCTTCTTCCATAACTATAATAAAAAAAATTTAAGTTTACTCAGAAAACATTATTGATTGTTGTAACACTCGAAAATCTGATTTTCAATATCAACATTATTATAACTGAAATTGTAAAACTTTAAAAGAAACCCTTGAAAAAACATGTCAAGATCTTCCTGATCTGGTCTTCTTTGACAACTACAACTAGCTGGATCTTTTCAAATCAATCAAATGAACATGTGGCAGAAAATGGCAAATCATTTAATGAGAAAATAAAAGGAATTTTCCTTCTCATATTTGGCCCATAAAAAGGACTTGTCTATGTACTTCAATAATCAGTTATTCGAAATTTATTAATTCGATTAATTCAGATTCAAGTCACTTAAACTTCAATTTAATATTTGTATACATAATTAGTTATTAAAAGATGTCAATTATATACCTTGTATCAACTTGATTTTGTTTCTCCATTATATGTTAAATAGATAATCGAAGGATAAAAAGTAATTATGTTACATGTAACCAATTTGATTTAAGAGGAAATGAAAAATAAGTCGAAGATAACACAAAATAAAAAGATATCAAATCATGAAATTCATGTATTGCATTGCATTGCATTACATTATTATGATATACAGTAAGAAGAAAAGAAAACACCGGAAAAGAGCTCTATAAATTTTCATTACCTAAGCTCTTTTCCATCTTTTGTACATATAAAACAAGGTTGTTATATTACATAACTCTCCCAATAAAGAGTTATTCAAGCTCAATCAAAGAAAACCAAAAGTTAATTATAAAGTCCAAAAAAGGAGGGGAAAAAAGTGTCTTTTTTTGTTGTTGGTGTTGATGGATCCACTACTAGAAAAACGCGAAAGCAAACTTCCAACATGAAATTCACATTTTTCTAGTAGTGATAGAGTGTGATCTTCTATTTTAGTGACAAACTGGTCCAGAGTCCTCGAGTTCAATCCCCATTTCTGCAAGCCTCTTCTCCTTGTACACGTACGTTTTCGACGTATACAAGAAAACCATCAAGTTCAACACACTCAATATTGCCAATAGCCAGTAGAAATCATGTAACTTCCCTTGGTTCAAATTATCAGCTATCCATGGATGTGTTGTCCCAGTCACCATATGTACAATTGTAACCAAAATTGAACTAAAGAAAAACCCTAATGCAAGGGTACTTAAAAATAGGCCAGTACTCATAGTTTTCATACCTTTTGGACATTCTCTTAAGAAAAAATCCAATTGGCCAATGTATGTAAAAGCTTCACCTGCCCCAATAAGTAAAAATTGTGGAATTAGCCAAAATACACTTAATGGAATTGTGGCATTTGGGTCATTTGTAAGCCCATTTAAGTGGGCAGTATTTAATCTTTTAACCTCAGTTAAGGCAGATGCAACCATGGCTATAATTGAAAGGATTAACCCTATGAAAATTCTTTGCAATGGGGTGAGTCCATGACGTTTGTTAGCAACACGTCGACAAATCGGAACGATGACTCGATCGTAGAAAATTACGGTCAAGAGGATGGCTCCAACGAAGAATGCGGTGAGCGAGGCGGGCGGGATTTCAAAGGATTTACCGATGTGTCGATCCATAGTGGTTGCTTGTGAAACAGAAAATGTGGTCATTTGGGCATAGGTAGTCCAAAACATAATTGTTGTGGCCCAAGTTGGTAACATTCTGAATAACAATTTTACTTCTTCAACATCTGTTAATGTTGACAATTTCCACTTGTTCACAACATTACTTTCAAGACCATCTTCCTTAATGGCTGCCTTGTCCAAGAATCTGCATAATAAAAACAGAATCGGATTCACGATTTACTTTTTCTAGATGATATACACAAATTATACATGATTATACACATATGATGTGCATATTTTCTTTTGGTTTTCTATATAGTACTTGTATTGAAGCTCGGCTAATTTGAATTCTAAGATTCATATAAATTCTAAGGACCGGACATGTAATGTATATTTACACAATCAGATCAAGTAACTGGTGCAAGTAACTCTATTTATATTGGTTCATAATCTAAAATAAATAGAAAATAACATGCTAAAATATATTTGATGTCTAAACAATCTTACTATACTGTTAGTATATATAACTTAAGGGCATTAAAAATTAAAAGAAAATAAATTTGGAGTGGCTCTACATGTTATATAAATAATAATAAAATAATAGTAAGTCAAATATCAAAGTATCTCACAATATTTATTAGGCTTTTTATTTCAAAATAGAATTAATTATAGGCATTTGATTGATGAAATGTTGATTAATTTGGTTAATGGTAGCTATCAAAGATTGGCCAACTCTATATTGGAGTCTAGGGATAAGTTCACAGCTTGGCACCAACTTTTTTTTTTTTTAAATATTATGCAAAATAATGCAAGTGACTAAGTCAATATTTCAATAAAAAACTTCTCATTTGTGGTTTATATTAGACAATCAAATTTAATAATCTAACATATTATAGTAGATTTACTCTCTTATTTTAATCTACATTAATAACTAGTTTCTCATATTAAGAGTAGTTAGTAATAAATCATATGCATTGATGGCGTGAATAATATTTACATAGTCAAGCTAAAACAAAATATGTTTCAAGAGAGACGTTCGTTAGAAATTCACGTTTTTTCAGTAGTGAAGATGAGAGAAATTAAAGAACTTACCGGTATTCCTTGCTATGAGGCAATTTTTGCTTTCTTTTTTTGTGTCCTTCACCAAAAACATTGTCATCAATTTCATAAAGAAGTGATGAATCTGATGGCAATTCCATATGCCTATTTCTCCAAGCAGCCACAAATACTGATGCAATTTGTGTTAATGGACTTCCAACAAGTTTTTTAAACCTATATTTTCTTGTACCAAATAAAAATAATACAAGTGCAATAACAATTGCACATGCACAAATTCCATAACCCCATTCCCTTCCCAAATTATCTTGTACATAAACCAATATTGTAACTGCACCTAGTGAACCAACATTTATGAAGAAAAAGAACCAATCAAAGAATTTTATCATTTGTCCTTTTTCCTTTTCGTTCGAATCATCGAATTGGTCGGTCCCAAATCCCGAGACACTTGATTTTAGACCGCCTGTACCGAGGGCGGTCATGTATAGCGCGATGTATAGGACCATGAGTTGTTTGCCGCTAGCCGGGATGCATGATGAGCTACCTTGTTCACATTTTGGTGGTCGCAAGCTTGGGATTATTGTCGAAATGGTCAAGATTGTGACACCCTATTCATCATAACAAAGGACAATTTCCCTCGTTAGAATTTAACTTATGTATACTGGCAATACAAAATTAATTTATATTATCAAGCCAACTAATAGTAAATACATAGATCTAATCAACAACATATCTGGTGATCTCACAAGTAGGGTTTGAAAAAAACAGAGATGTACAGAAGTCTTATTGCACGCCATCCATCCATCTCTATTACTATAACAGGTTAAAATATATTGATAGTAGTAAATAAAATGTTTTGTAATATATATATATATATAAAAGTTAATCTTATAACTTAATATTATTTGAATTTAACTTATATGCGCCGATAGTTTAAAGAATAACCATTGACCCAGCTAATGAAAGAAATGTTCTTCCTCCTCTTCCTCCTCCCTCCTCTTTCCTCTTTGTCCAATCATCATTAAGCTTCTTCATATACATGTTCGATTTTCCTCTTCACAACAAATTAATTAAACCAAATTGTCATTTAAAATTTTAATTCTAATTTTCACTTTCTCCAATTTCCTCTTCACAACAATTATAATATGACTAGTTTTTTTTTTTGAATGAAATGAAATCAATTTCGAGATTCCTCATCACATACTTCCACATAATGAGAAGAATTAAAATTCGATTTGATGACCAAAGAAAAAGTCTTTTTTGATGACTATGTTAAGTCCAATGTGATAATAACACTCAAAAATATGAATGAATGATTTATTTATTTATTTGGACACTTACTATTGCTTGAACTGTGGCAAATATTCCAATTGTAAGATACCTGCATTAATAAAAAATAACTTGATAAGAATTTAAGTAATTTCACGCGATGATGGTGTAAATAATTATTTATAAACTCAGATCTCTTAAAATATAATTATAAAATTTGACACATCAGTAACGTTGTTGAGTAGTGACAGTTTGATAAATGGTAACTAACATGTTATAACACGTTAATAAATACGAACCTTCCAAGGAAAGTGTCAGCAATGAAGCCACCAAGCAAAGTGAGCATGAAAGAAGTTCCAAGAAAATTGGTGACA